AAATTTGTTAAATCAGAAAGATGCAACATTTTGGAGGTAAAGAGGCTGGTATAGCACTACATGAGACCAAGATCCAGTATTTCTAGACACCGGTAGTCTGGATTATAACAGAGATAGATTGGGACATTCTAGACGATGAAAATAAAGAACAGCTTTGTTCAATTTTAAATACACGGAATATTGGGAATAAAGAGACTTACAACAGTCAACCTTTTGCACTGAACAAATCAAATATTGCAGCTGTTTCTTCCACCTTAGAACACAGTTCATCTATTTCAAGGAATATAATCGACGGACTATGTCTTGAGATTCGGAAGTGGTATTCTATTTTGAAGACAGCAAGATATGCAACTAACTGAAATGGAGGATTGTCCAACACTAACTGTTTTGTTTACAGGACTTGGTATAAATACACATTGCAACACGCCTTGGCTATATCTGTGAAGATGGACGAAACTGCAGAGCCAAAGTGGTTAAGTGATGCAAGTTATTTGCAGGATTTCTAGTTAATCCCATACCGCTACTCCTAACATTATGACTTTCTTATTCCAGGACTGGAAAATCCTCCGTCTATTAGCATAACCTACCAGCAGTTAGATTAGCACTTTCTCCCCAATCAATCCGGTTGTAAGATAGCTGACTTAGTTTGATCCTATCCGAATGATGATGAATTACATCTATTTTAATAGAATATTCAATTCGAAGATAAAATCTCAGATTTGCGCAAAATCCATTATCTTCATTCAATCTTTACAGTTCATAACTTCTTTTTATTGTATGTCATCACAAGTATATGGTACACAGGACTATAATATATTTGATTAAAGTAGTCAATTTCAAAATATAAACTCATGTATTTATTTTTTTACAATAAGATTTATGCAACTAGAACTTCAGAAAATACACATAGATGCAATCCAAGCTTACAATACTCAACACACCCAAGAGCACAAAACTTTCAAATGTCTAGCATTTCCATAGATTTTGCTGATTAGCCATAAAATTTGATTAGATTTTAAAATTTTATTTTCAAAACATCTTCAAATTCCCAAAAATCAGACTGCACTCACTTCCACTCACAAAAGTTCAATTTTTTCCAACTAAAATTCGAAAAGTTACAAAAATGTTTGTCCAAACACAACTTCGAAAACTCAAATTTTCAATTTTCAACTTCAAAATTATATTCATACTAACCACACTACAAAATATATTCATGAGAAACACAATAGAAACAAACAAACCTCTTAGAAGGAGAAATCTGATAAATTCTTGGATTTAGTATTGGAAGTGATGGGCAATGCAATTGAAGCATTTTTCTGTAACCCCTTTTCTTCTCTCAAGATTATGTAATGACCCTTTGAGGAATTGCAGAGAATGAAGAGATTAAATACATTGTTTTCGACGAAAAAATTCCAGATTCTAATATAAGAAATGCACGCTACGAATATATAATTATGGAATGTGAAAAAAAAAAAAAAAAAAAAAAAAAAAAGGAAAAAGATGTTGGCAAGGGAGTTATATTTTTCGATTAATTTGAGAAATGGTTGAAAACCATGAAGGTTGGGCTACACCTCGACTAATTTCACGGTATATTAGAATTTTATCTAATTTTTTTATTTCTGTTCGGATTTAAACCTAACACCTCCTGAATCTGAAACCACACCCTTGATGCAATTTTAATGATTAACTTTGACTTTTGCACGACTTTTAAATTATTATTTTTTATCATAATATTTATATTTTTGATGTTGAAAAATAATTTTAAAAGAATAAACATAAAAATAAAATACTTGAAGGAAATAAAATATACATACATTGTGCTGGGGCTGTCCAAATGAATCAAAATAGATAACTCGAACCAACAAAAAGTTATTGGTTTATCGATAATGGGTTATTGATTTAGCGGTTTCGGTAATGATTTTAATTCTTTTTATTATCGAAATAACGGTTTGAGGTTTTTTCTTAACGAGTTTACTGATAATCGAATAGCGGTATATAAAGTCCTTGACTTAGATCATAGTCAGGGGCGGAGCCACCTTGTACAATGGGGTTCATCTGAACTCCATCGACGAAAAATTATATTATTTATACATGGTTAAAATAATTTTATATGTATATGTAGTAGATGTCGAACCCCCTTCGGCTACTTCATGTGTCTGTTTCTACATATTTTGAACCTCCTTATTGAAAATTCTGGCTCCGCCTCTGATCGTAGTGTCATACTTTTATTTCTGGTTGTCTCAAACTCTTTGTTATTCTATAATAGAATGGTGTTTGCTTTTGCCTAAGATGCACTCTGTCAACTCATGTATATGGTTCTTTTGGTTTTTCGCATGGTTTCTAAGTGATTTTCAATTATTATTTTTGGGGTCAAATCTTGATGAGTATCGAATCGAAAACGATAAACAATTGATAAGTCTATATCTTAATTGCTCTATAACAATTTAGTATGTTTACAAACTGATAATCACTAAATTAAACTGATAAATTTTAAAATCAAATTGAACCGACCCAGCCTAGCTTGGAATTTAGCAGTTGCTGCTCATCGATATATTTGGACTTCGAACGTGGGATGTTTTTTATGAGTATCAGAAAAGAGGGGAAAATATGAATGTGTGGTTCTTTTAATTTTATTTTTTTCTCAAAATATCAAGAAATGGGTCTTTTTTGACAACATTTAAAAAGGGATCTAAAAAGTATATTTCTTAAATTTCATATTTGTCATGATTATAAAAAATATCTAAATATTGAAAAGTTGAATAATTATAATTCAATTTTTTATTTACCACAAAACAGTATATTAATGTAGTTTGAAAACGACAAAATATATGCATGCATACCTTACTTTTATTATCATAAGATAGAAAATTGTTTTTAATAGATTTTCGAGTTAAGAAAAAAATTTGAATATGACAACAAAATAATAAAATATAAAGCAATTGAAACAGTAGAGAGTAATATACATTGAGAAATTAAAAAATTATGTGATTACTATCTAAAATGTGACAACCTTCTGTCTAATACTTAAAGTTAAATATCAAATTTAATATTTGATGTACTCATATATCTAATTGAAGCTAAAACAAATAACAATCTTATTCGTGGCATTCTTAAAATAATTTAACTTAAACTTCTTAATTTACTTTCAGTGACAACGTTTACAACATCACAAATATCATTCCATGTTTAAAGCCACAAATTTCAAAAATTATATAATTACACAAATATTTCTTAATCTATGTCCGTAATTAAATTGGATCAACAGAGAAATATATAATTTCATAAAGCAAGTGAACAATGCATGACATGAAGGCGACATTAACATATTTAATATAAAACATAAATAAATCTGAAAAGAATAATATATGCGCAGATTTTATCATTATTTTAAAAAATAGATAAGTTTTTTCTAATAGACACTCGACTCGAGTATAAACGAACATATTATCACATGCTCGTCAAATGAATGTCAAAACTTGATGCTAATTATGTTCATTATTAAAATGCCAACATGATTAATGTTCATGTTCATAAATTAATTGTCAAAATGACAAAATTAAGTACTTATTTTATAAAAGTCACATGGCTTTGGCCTATATCTGCTGGTTCCATGCTACAAAACCTTTCATTTGTTGGATCTTTCTTTAAATAAAATAAATAAATAAATATTTTGGGGACAGTTGAAAGAAGAAAAATATACAATACAATTTTTTTAAATTATTATTATTATTATATACAATACATTTTTTTAAAAATTATTATTATTATTATTATTTACAATACAATTAAGGATACAACAACTCAGAAAAAAAGAAGAAGCTATAACTAATCAATGTTTGTCAGCATTTTTATATTTGAAAATGAATTCAAGTGGTGGAATAATTTTATAATATTTTTCCTAATCAATACCTACTCTACTTACATTATATAGCAATAAACTGAGATATACTATTTGTTTTTAACAAAAGTAAACAGAAGAAGTTAAAACTAAAAACATCAACCACTTCACTTTCTATATAATTATTATATTATTATTTGTGCAACAGGTAACATTATCATATAAAACACAAGACTATAATGTAGTTAATCTATATATAATATGTATAATTTTTCTGGATAGTACAATCCACTAAGGGTGTGTCATGAAAAATAATTTCCTAGAAAAGATTTTGTTAAAAAATACTCCATCCATTTCAAAAAGACTGACCTCCTTTTCTTTTTAGTCTGTTAAAAAAGAATGACCTTATTCTTTTTTTGATAACATTTTAATCAGTTTTCCATGTGACATGTTTAAAGCCACAAGATTAAAGGACAATTTTGTACATTTGACATAAATTTAATTTAGAACCACAAGATTCAAAAGTCTTCTTTATTATATTAAACTCCGTATCAAGTCAAACTAGACCATTCTTTGTGAAACGAAGGGAGTGGTTTTACATGTTTAAGTGAGCCCAACTGATGCGAATCCGATTAGTTGAGCCACAAGACTTCAGATTATCGAATATTCAAAAAAATAAATCAAGAGGAAATTTCATAAATAACAACATTTTGAGCTATAATTACCGATCATAGTGATAGTTTGGCTAATTACAAGACGTAACAATAGTTACTTAAAAAATTCACGACACAATGTATCGATTAACATACAAAGCAAAACAAATAAAACTCAAACTCTCATTATGTCTTGTAATTTTTTAGACTCGCGCTATTTTGGATAAATACATGACATATATTTGCTATGTTAGGTAATTTTCTCAAAGTGGGATCTAGTCCATCACAATTCACCTATTCTCTTCAATGGTGACTGTTGGACTCAGCTGTTGAGGCCTCTAATCTAGCAGCCCTTTCTAGTTTGAAAGGGTGGCCCATCAAGACCCTAATTTGGGTCATGATCAACACTCGAAAAGCCACCCCAACAACAACATACCCAGTAGAGTATACACAGACCTTATCCGTACCTCGTGATCGTGGAGATAGAGAGGTTGTTTCCAAAAGGCTACTCAAGCACTCAAACAAATTTAGTCATTCAAATAAACCAACTCCAAGTATCTTATCTCAAAATACCAATTCAACTACTCAAGCACTTCTAATACAATTTTCTTTGCACTTTCAAATAAAGTTAATTAATACCAAAACAGCAAAAGCCAAGAACAAGTCACAAGCAAATAGTTCTGCTAGGAGGTTTACACAAACAATTCCCCTTAGCTTGCAAGAATTTCCACATGCACACATTTCGACCTATTTTTATTTGCTTCATACAGTTCCACTATAATACATCTAAGTTGTCGTGGCCTGCGCCTTATCTCCCTTGGTTCCTCAATCTAATGGCTCGCATGGGATGCAAATCAACAAATAGAAACCACTATAAGTCAATGCATGTGTGTCAAACTCTTGACATAACTTTTTCTTAAGGACTTGTTTGATTGTATATTTGCATGCTTGGCTTCAGTGAGTTCACCTTCTAATGGACACTTGTTTTCATCAATATTACTGCAAATGCGAAAATTGATTCAGCCTTTGTAAGTAAAAGAATAAGAATATATAGTAATTTGAAGTGATAAATACACAGTTAGCTATCAGCAGCAAGGAAAACACCAAAACTAGATACTATCTCTGAGCTTAAACTTCGTTAAATAATTCATTTTGAGCTATTAAGGTTTCACCTATGGAAACTAGTCAGAGAACCCCCCTAAAAAATATTTACAGGGACAACATCCCGTTTAAAAAGAGCTCAAGAAGAGCAACAACATTAAGTACCATTGAGTTTAAAGTTCAACACACCTGGTAATACAACAAAAATAATTGCTTGTGCAAAAGAGTATCGTTTCTTGAAACTGGTGCAGAACAGGGAAAAAAACTAACAAGATCCGCAAGCAAAATGAAGCAGAATCTAACAGCACTAACGAAAAATACATAGAGTGCAACTCTTACAGGTTATTAGTCACACAATTGTCTTCATCTGAATAATTTCAGCCTCCGTTGTTGTGGCATTCGTTATCCCTGCTGTGAAAAGGGACAAATTAGGCTCTCAACATAGATTTCTGCCTCAAGACATGGACCAAAGTTGGTAACATCTAGATAGCTGATCATGTTATCCTTTGTATTGTATTTCATCAAGCGACCTCCAAACAGACACAAAAGTTCACCTTCATTTGACGTTAAAATGGTTGGATGCAATGGATGTGCCATAGGATAACCAGGAGACTTGGTGGTAAATATCTTAGTCCAAGATTCTTTTACCCCATATTCCTTCATAACCCAGACATCTGCATGACTCGATGCATAAATAAAAGATGCAGAAAGATCACCCCCTAACACTCCTAGCTTCAAAAATACATATTGTTTAAAACAGGATGGTCGCTCTAGCTCTGCCCATTTCTCATCAGCCAAATCAATAGAAATGATGTTCCATTGCTTGTCAAGCCAATGAAGTTTCTCATTGACAAACTTAGCAGAACCAGCCAAGCGCTCTTGACGTCGAAAATCATCAATGCATCTCCAAGAATCCCTCTTAAGACTATATATTTTGACCTCAACACGACTCAAGTGTCCCCTTGTATAAATAGGAAAAATACCCACTACCTTGTAATCATCTTGCAACTCATTGTATGCAAAACCAAATTTGAAATTAACATGTCCATCCAAATAGTAACGGCGACTTACATCAAGTCTAAAATTAGGCAATTTCTTATACTTTCTAATTGATGGATTCCATAGAAACAAGTCGTACAATCCGTCAAATAGACGGATGGAAAAACAAATCAATCCATTGACAACACCCACAAACCAAAGATAATGATTGGGACTTTTACCGGGATAATCCAAGTCAAATGCCTCCGTTACAGGATGGTAAAGCAAAGACCTAAGAGAACAATCCTTAACAACGAAGACAGATTTAGTAGAAACCTTAACCATAACTCCATGGTGGGTGTAGTTCTTGTTACTAGCGGATAAAGAGAGATGAGCCTTCACAAATTCAGGGTTAGAGATTAAGGAAAGCCAAGATTTCGAAACAGATCTAAATTGCAATAGGGATTTCACCGGAAGCTTTAACAAGATTTCTAGGATGAGTTCTGTAGGAAGGTTAGGCATTGGCAAGACTGAATCTTGGCTTAAAATGGACGAAAAATGGGCAGGATTTGTGGGTTTGCTCCGTTTTGGGTGTCGAGGGATGACTTCATCGCCTCTGGATTCCATTTGAGTTGCAGCAACTATAACTCTTGAAGTTGGAGACTAGGTTTAATGTTTTTCCCTTCTTATAGTGAAAGCTCCAAGTTTGGGGAAATAGCAAATTTAGCACTTATGCTATTGCAGAATTGTGTTTATGATCCCTCTATTATATATTTATATCTATATCATATAATCATATATACTATACTATATTATTCTATAAGTGGGAAGCCTCAAAGGTAAAAGTTGAAAGACGAAAACAACCATCAAAAGTTGAACGACAGTTTTTCCCTTTAAGCAAGCATTATTCATCAACTCTTTTGGTGCAAAAAGTTAAATACAAATTGTAAAAAGATAAAACAATTTAGAATTAAGACACCTACTTAAAATGCTGATAAATTATTTCATTTACGAGAAGATGTGATCCGCTTATATAAGTGAATTTTAAATCAATATTATCTACAAACATCATCATTACAAATTTTATTTCATCAAGTTTTACCTTATTTCACAATCTTTATCTATATCATATTAAAAGCACGAAGGTACTTAGAAATGTTTATTGAACTTTTTTGCCCTTCATTAAAGACACTACAGAGTCGTTTGGTGTGAGGTATTAGCTATAATAATCCCAGAATAAAATGTAGGATTATTTTATCCCACGTCTGGTTGGAGGTATTAGGTAGTCCTTGGATTATTTATCCCCACCATTTTTGACATACTGATGGGATAACTTATCCAATATACATGGTGGAATAACTCATCCCAAGATAATTAATCACATGATACATGTTCCCAATCAAACAAACCTTACAATCTTTCGGGAACAATCTCTCTATCTCCACGACATCCAATAACATTGAGTTTAAAGTTCAATACATCAGTAATGCAATCAAATTAACTATTTTTGAAAAGATTATCTTTCTTGAAAATAGTGCAAGAAAGGAAATTGACTAACAAGATCCCCAAGCAATATGAAGCACAATTTAACAACACTTAAGAAAAATGCAAAGAGTGTAACTCTTACAGGTTATCAGTCACACGATTGTCTTCATCAGAATTATTTCAGCCTGCGTTGTTGGTGAAATCGTGGTCTCATTGGTAAAAAGGGCAAACTAGGCTCTTAACATAGATTTGTACCTCGAGACATGGAGCTAACTTAGTAACATCTACATATCTGATAGAGTCATCCTTTGGATTGTATTTCATGAAACGTGATCCAAACTTGAGCAAAATTTCACCTTCATTTGACATTAAAATGATTGGATAAAATATACGTCCCATAGAATCTTCGGGAGACTTGACGGTGAACATCTTTGTCCAAGATTCTTTTACTCCATATTCCTTCATAACCCATATATCAACATGAGTCCATGCGTAATTACAAAACACAGAAAGATCACTCTCAAACACTCCTAGCTTCAAAAATCCACATCCTTTAAAACAGCAGGGCTGATCTACCTCTGCCCATTTCTCATCCGCCAAATCCATAGAAATAATGTTCCAGTGCTTATCAAGCCAATGGAGTTTCCCATTAACAAACTTAGCAAAATCACCCAAGAGCTCCACACCTTTATAATCTTTAACACGTTTCCAAGAATCACTCTTTAGACTATATATTTTGACCTCAACACGACAAAGACTTGCATAACTATAAATAGGGAAAATACCCACTATCTTGTAATCATCTGCGAATTCATCATATGCAAAGCCAAAAGTGAAATAAGGAACAATATGCTCCTCGTAAGGCAATTTCTTATACTTTCTAATTGATGGATTCCATATAATAAAGCAATCTAATCCGTAAAATAGATTGATAGCAAGACAAATCAATCCATTGACCGAACCCACAAAGAGAGGAAAAGAATTGGGATTTTTACCTGGATTATCCAACTCAAACGACTCAGGTACAGAATCGTAAAGTAAAGAGCTAACAGAACAATTTTTGACACCGCGGCTAGTATTAGAAGCCTTAGTTATAACTTCGTGGTGGATGTAATCCTTGTTACTAGCGGATAATAAGAGATGGGTCTTCACAAAATAAGAGGTAGAGATTAAGGAAAGCCAAGATTTTGAAACAGACCGGAATTGTAAAAGCGATTTCACCGGAAGTCTTAACATGATTTCTGTGATGAGTTCTTCAGGAAGATTAGGCATTGAAAAGACTGAATCTTCGCTACAAATGGACTGAATTTCTGTAGATTTGCTCCGTTTTGGGAAAATTTCATCTTCTTTGAATTCCATATTTGGGTTTGCATAAATATGAACTGAGTTGAGAAATTTGGTGAGGAGATGACTGGGTTTGTGTTTTTTTTCCCCTCAACCCCCTACCCACCCCACCCACACACAAAGATAAAATTTAGAGAGTGATTTTTAATTATTTTAAGTTATTAATTATTATAATTTATAGGATTTTTACGTAATTTTTTTAAATAATACTTACTTTCATTGTTTTAATATATGTAGCATAAATAGAATTTCAAGAGTCAATATGTTGTTAATTATTGAGATTTACAATACTTTTTATGTAATAGATTAATTTTATGACTCAATCAAATTTTTTATAAGCAATTGAAACTTTTATATGTTTTTTTTAAAATATTTTAAGTTGTCAATTATCATGATTTATAATATTTTTTATAATTTTTTTAAATATATAAAATATAAAAAATAAGATAAACAAATTAAAACGGAGAAAAATATAGACAAAAGTAGTAGAAGTATGGAACTACACAGGTGAAAGCAGGCATGTTGACATGCTTGGTTCACCTGTATGGTTCCACCCTTACATATACATTTGCAAAAAAAAAAAACGTTTTAATTTGTTTGTCTTATTTTTTAAGTCTTTTATATATTTAAAAAAAATGCAAAAAATATTATAAATCATGATAATTGACAACTTAAAATATTTTTAAAAAAACATATAAAAAAATTGATTGCTTATAAAAAAATTCAATTGATTCATAAAATTAATCTATTTGTGTCACATAAAATGGAACAAAAGAAGTAACATGTATTATTTAATTTGAAAACTACATAAAAAGTATTGTAAATCTCAAATCTCAATTATTAACAACATAATGACTCTTGAAATTCTATTTGTGATACATACAGGGACAAGGTAAGTAACATATACTCCCTTCGTTTAAAAAAGAATGATCTCCTTTCCTTTTTAGTCTGTTTCAAAAGAATGGTCCCTTTCCTTTTTTGGTAACCATTTTACTTTCAACTTTCCACGTGACATGTTTAAGACCACAAGATTAAAGGGCAATTTTGTACATTTGACATAACTTTAATTTAGGGCCACAAGATTCAAAAGTCTTCTTTATTTTCTTAAATTCCGTGCCAAGTCAAACTAGGCCACTCTTTGTGAAACGGAGGGAGTATTATTTAAAAATTACGTAAAAACTATAAATTACAATAATTAACAACTTAAAATATTTAAAAATTATATTAAACTCTCTAAATTTTATCTATATCACATAAAATGAGAACAAAAAAAATATTTCCTCTGTCCCAATTTATGTGACACATTTCGGATATCAAAATTCAAGCATATCTATCTTTGATCGTAATTTTTTCCTATATCTTTTAAATATTTTATATTATCAATTATTGAGACTTATAGTACTTTTTGTGTAGCTTACAAATATATAAATTTCATTTTTAAAAAATTAAAAATTTTATGAGCAAATTTTTTATCAGATTTAAATTATTTAACTCTCGAAAAGCAAAATGTGTCACGTAAATTGGAACAGAAGTAGTAACAAATATTGAGTCTGTGCGCACTAAGGAGAATAAGCTACCGCCTCTCCGTCAACACGTCTGTTTGGAATTAATATTCAATCTGGGGTTACACGTAAGACACGTGTAGCTCTTTGAATAAGACACGTGGTCACTTCACAACCCCTTCTTTGCTTTTAAAATTAGTGCTGACTTAATTATTACAATGTCAATTAAACTTGCGGGCCCTGCTTGTATGTCACTTGGATTACTATTAGTATTGTGCAATTTGATTAAATGAAAAATTCTATCAGTGTCACAAAATTGAAATAGATGGAATAACATATCTTATTTAAAAATAACGTAAAAATATTATAAATCATAATAATAATTATCTGTTAAAAATATATAAAAGACATCAAAATTTGAAAATTTTATCAATGCCACATAAATTGGGATAGAAGTAACATATATTATCTAAAAATTATATTAAAAGTGCTATAAATTATAATAATTAATAACTTAAAATATTTACAAATCATAAAAAAAATTAATTGACTTTCGAAATTTTATTTAGATCACATAAATTGAGACAAAATAAATACTCCCTCTATCTAACAATAATTGTTCATTATTAACTTGGCACACTCCTTAAGAAACAATAAATAATAAGGGTAATATTACTATATTATTCTTTGACTTTATTAAATTTAATACTTTGAGAAATATGTTAGATGATAAATAATATTTAATTATAAGGATAAAATAGACACAAAAAGGTAAATTATCTCTTGATTTTCTAAATTTGAAAAATATTATTGGATAACTATTTTTTAATATAGTAGACTACTATTGTTGAACAGAAAAAGTAACATATATTGGATCCGGCACGGACTCCATTACAATATTTATGATTTTCGCTTTATTTTTGTATGACAAGTACTGGAAACTAGAATTTTCTTTTTCGTTTCATGAATGTAAAATATTTCTACTAAATTTCTATTGATGAGTTGTTTTTCATTTCTTTGTACATAGGATGTAATTAATGTAGATGTTGGTTACAAATTGTGACTCATGTTGCATTGAAATATATTTGAGCTTTAGTTTGTGTCCACCTCAGTATAGAGTCACATTTACTAAAAAGAGATTTAGAACTCTCTAGAATGAATTCAAATTTAGTCGGATGTCAATCCAAATGCAGGTACCAGACAACACGCAAAACAAATTGAGCATCATGCAAGCCCATTCTCATTGCAATATGGGCAAAACTCAAATTGATGAATTCCATATAAACAAGTCATTCTAATATGTTACATATACCAATGGTAAGACAAATCAATCCATTGACAGAACTACAAGCCAAGGATAATTATCACAATTTTTACTTAGATAATCCAAGTCAAATGACTTAGTTCTTAGATGGTAAAGTAAAACACTAAGGAGACGTTTAGTAGGATGTATTAAATCAGATAGCCCTTGTATTAAAATTTAGTGCACCCAATACAATATTTGATTGCATAATTCAACTCAAACACACCTAATTTATGGATAACCTAATAAACCATATGTATCTAATATCTAGAATATCTACCCAATACAATGTTTGGTTGCACAATTCAATTCAAACACAAACACACCTATATATGGATAACCTAACACACCATAGGTTTTATCTAATACCTAGAATATCTTAGGGGTCGTTTGATGTTAAGGATAAGAATAAATAGTCCTGAGATAAAAAAAATAATAATCCTGGAATAAAAATTTGGTATCTTGTTTGGTTGTCATGTTTGGGATAACTTATCCCACCATTTAGGGGTCGTTGGTAGGCCGCATTAAAACAAATAGTTCATGTATTATGTATAGTATTATTTAGTACTACGTTTGGTAGGGATTTGGGCTTATGTATAACTAATCCAAGGATTAGTTACACCTCCTACATGGTATTATAGGATGTATTACTAATACCTTCCATTTGGAGGGATTAGTAATACATAGGATATAATACCATGGGATAAGTCTATGTAAAGACAAAAACATCCCTCAACTCATTTTAATTATTTTGTTTATTTTCTTGATTTATGGTTTATATTTGTACTAGTAAATTTATTTAAATAGATTAGCTTACAAATTATTTAGAGAAAGTTGTTTGTCACTAGATAATTCAATACAAATTGATATAATATTTAAAATGTGAGTTGTTTAACATAAACTAATTAAAAGGGAAATATATCACCACATGACGTTTGTGATCTTAATTGAATGCATATAAATATTTGTATTTTGAACAATTTATAAAATTGCATACATATTAAAACTACAACTTGCAATTTTTATGTGTAAATGTAGATGATTTATTCAATTTTACTATTGTTTACCGTCTTTTCAATTTTAAAAGTTGATAGTTTATCTTCTTTTTTTTTAATTTGAAAATTGACATTTTGTAAGTAATCAATACTAAGATGACAATTATTTATCCTCAAATAATTTAAGTGAAAAAAAAGAGAGGCAAACATGACAACAAAATTATTCTTTCTCATAGCTAGTTAGAAGGCCATAAAAAATAATATTGTCCGGCAATTATTTACCTTAACTCAATTACATAATAATTTAAGGGTATAATTGAAAAAAAGTTTTTTATAAAGTTTCAATCCAAGCATAAGATGAGTTGGGAAACAATTAACCAAACACTTGATAACACAAAGTAAAAATTACAAGAATATACAATTTAAGTCTTTTATTAACAAAATATGCACATACTTCTTTTTAATTATAAACTTAGCTTTTTAATTACCAATATGGCAAAAATTGGATTTTTCGTGTTTTATTAATATTATTAATTTAATATTAAACTCCCCTTTTTGTGGATTATGTGCATAATTTATGGGGATGGATGAATATGATAGTATTACTTTTTTCTCATTTTTTAACTTCCCAACTAAAGTTTAATGGCTACACGTATTCTTCTTCTTTTTTTAATTTTTTTTTATCCTCTTCCTTTTTGAGCTAATCTATGTATGTAGAGAAAAATATTTATGTATTTGACCATATATTCTCTCCATAGCATTTATTTTGGTTACTTTTTAGTATGTAATCTAGTTTTGGCAGAAGTGTTTTCTCCATTGTTATCTTTAGTTATTCTCACTAGTTTATATTCAGTTTATCTTCTTTAAGTTTTATCCGTCATTTCATATTAAGTTCTTTCTCATGCACATAATGTTTTTTGTTATAGATTTGGATAACAGTTTAATTGGTATTTTTAATCATTTTGATGCATATTTTTTGTTCATCCATCTAAATATTACATATATTTATTAGTGTATATATTGTTACAATGTTGGTTCCATTGTGGTATCAAAATACAATTTTTATTTAGTTATCTTTACAGAATCACGTAATAATGTTGGTATATATATACCAACATGAATCAATACATATTATACCAACAATTGAAATGAATATATAAGTTTGATATTCAAAAATGTAAGTTTATGTTTATCTCAGAAAAAATTGTAGTTTATTTTCACCAAGAAAATAACAATGTATTAAACAAAGTTCCCTTAAACAAACATTCAAACACCATTGTTATAACATTTATTACTCCCATATTACAAATTAGCCAATAACTTTTCATTTTACACCAATATTACGAAAAATCATACTTTTAAATGCTTAATATATATATTTAATACATAACCATATATATCAGACTTTACAGAACCATTTTCTTATATAAATTTGGTATATAAAAAGCTTAGTTTATATGATTAAATATCTCAAAAAAAAATATGAATTGTATTTTAATCAAGAAAACAACAGTGTTATTCAAACAAACACCAATGTTATAACATTCTATACACCAATATTACAAATTAGTAATTCAACATTCACCAATATAAGTACAAAGTGAAATCAACATTCTCCAAAGTTAACTGAAATTCAATAAAACCATAAAATATCCAACAACATAAAAAGTTAAATAAAACCAAAAAACAATTATGACACAACAATGTTAATTCAGAGGTGGAAATTTGGGGCAAGTCTTCTGGTTATGTCCGGGTGTACCACATTTACTACAACTGACTTTACACCTTTTGAATTTCCCTTCATTGAATCCCTTCTTACGGTCGTTATTTGATGGTCTCTCTGGTTGCTTTCTTGCATCAGGTGGTAACACTATCTCTTCTAAAATATCTGATGGAATCTCTCATGTGCTTTCGCAAGGCAATGGTTCGAGATTGCATAAGTATCTAGAAAATTCGTATTACTATAATAGGCTGAACAATAATCCTCGCAATAGCAGCACCTGCATGACTACTTTCATGTGTTACATTACACCTTATTGTTAATCAAAATTCAAAACAATTAGTGAGATTAGTAAATAACTAGTACATGAACAACATATTACAATTATAATTTGCTAAGAAATTCAGCAATATAGATATAATAACAGAATGGTGTTTACAATTTAGTGCAACATAACAAATTGATTTTTATATTAGTATACAACATGTTTCGTTTATATCAGAATGCTAATCATGTTGGTATACAAAATGATTTTACCAATTAAGTTAGTATAATATTATGTTGGTATTTTGGTATGAAATACACCAACACGAACTAATAAGTGTTTTAACTAATTTAATGTTTTTTCTTTAAATTTTTGATGTATATATCTTAAGCCTACCAAAAACCACATACACTACAAACCACAAGATTATTTAACAACAACGAAGTATACCACAAACATTACCATATACACCAAGCAAAGTTAGTGTTTATAATTTATACAAAATATATCAAATTTACCAACACATTACCAAAAAATAAAGATATACAACAGATTATATTAAAATGATAATCATATTGCTATACAAAATGACTTTAACTAATAAATAGTATACCAGTTTGGCTGTTATTTTGGTATGAAATAAACCAACATAAACTAATTAACAATTTAAAGAACATAATTATTTTGAATTAAAAATCACGAAAAAAATATCAAATTTTTTAATTTGATTTTGTAAACCAATCACCAATTCCGTAGTAACAAATACACATACACCAAACAAATTTGGTGTATATTTATACCATATCAAATACGCCAACTCCATCAAACAAAATACTATTATTGTCAGATTGAAAAATAGAAATCACAAAAAAAAAAAACCAAATAATTTAAATACGATATTTAAATTAATCACCAATTCTGCCATGCTCTTTTCACACAAACTTGTTGCATCCCATTATCCATTGTGTTGAATTAGAATTGAAACCATGTTCATATCCATAATTGAAAAAACTTTAAGAATAAAGGAGGTAGAGTGTTTTGTTTTTGGTAAAACACGTAGTTTGATGATGTGAGAGAATATGTAACAAATGCATTTAAATGTGGAAGGTAAATATAAAATGGGTGAAATTTAAGGAATGGGAGAAAATTGTGCCGTCCCTATTATTTTTTATTTTTTTTTGGTAATATTATTTTCTGTTTTTAATGGAGAAATCGTGGCTAATCAGGTCTCTATATTCCATTTTTTATTAATTAATATTATTTTCTGTTTTTGAAAAAAAAAAGTATTGCTATATTGATGAAAAATAAAACTATTGTTATAGAGTGGTTATTAAGGTCTTTATATTGTATATTTATGTTTTTACCCAAAAACAAAATCTTGCATTACTAATCCCTGCACTATTAATCCTTGCATTACTAATCTTTGCATCAAACGACCCCTTATACCATAGTGATGGGATAAGTTATCGCAGGATAATTAATCTTGGGATAACTTGTTCCCAACCAAACGATAAGGGATTTACTACTACTGGTTTAATAATACAACAAAATGACTGAAGTGCCCCGCAATTCTTTATATAATCTTAAGAATTGAAAAAGAAACATCCTATTTCTCAATTATAAATAAGCCTAAATATTATCCAATTTTATACTTCAGTTGTACAATTGAGAAATAATGTTTCAGCGATGATCTTTTTTTTTTTTTTTTGGTAAATATGTTGAGCTAGGGGCTCCTTTATTCCAATGTGAAATCTGTACAAACTGGCCCAATTAAGCCCAAAAGAAAACAACAAGCAAAATATTTGTCCCTAATCCAAGGAAGACCGACTGCCTATGCCTAGAATCTAGAATTTCCTAATTTGAGCTCCACTTCTTTCGTTTCAGCGATGATCAAATTTTGCACCCAACTAAAAAAAAAAATAACATCTTTTTTTTTGCTCATTCACTAGGTGCTTACATACATAATTTGTCAAATTAACATATAAATTTTTAAGCAATAGAGTGTAACTGTAGTATTGCACTTTGCTGCAGATTTGAAACACCATGTTTTCTCTCACCTAGTGTATGGTTAGCAGTGGCTAGAAGTATTGCTTATTCTACGCAGTCCTAGCCAATTATATGAACTAGAAAATTTCATAATAATTAAAGGGTATAATTGGAAAAAAAATAAAATTGTAAAGTTTTAAACCAAACATAAGAATAGGTGAGAAGCAATGAACCAAACACTTGATTAAAAATAATCCCTGAATTACTATAACCCTTAATTGTTTTTCACCAGAAACTCCACATTATACTAGATGCAAAAAAAGACAAAAAGTACAACAAAGGCACTAGTCATATTTTCAGAACTTTTTGGAGGGAGAGCAACTTCAACTACCCATTACAATAATATACTAAAATTACAATATACTTTACAACAACCAGTTGGTTACTTTTACAAAGCCCCACCATCCACTATGCAAAGGATAAAGAGAGTCCCCACAATCCCACAACAAAATGGTGGAAGAAGAGCAGCTAATCATAGATAACTTTGAAAAAGAAGCTCACCTCATCCGAAAATGATGCTAATTGATTGGGTGCTTTCATACGTTTACCTTTCTCCAAGGTATGATGACATCATGCCTTGTTTGACGAAACTCCAGAAAGGTAATAAAAAAAAAAGGGCCAATGGTTGGGATAAAAGCAAAAGTTGTGGCATCTGACATTGATTGCATTGCCACCAATAACACAGGAAAATACAAATGGATGGTAGGTAAGGATACAAAGGAGGGGGGACACAAGGCTATTAGGAGTTCTCAGAGGCACGTGCAACGAGTTGAAGGTCTATGATGGGGCTGCCGCTTCAGGCTTGACCAGTGACTGGTCATCCGGTTGCTGAGTAGGATAGATGAGTGCAGCAAGTGATATGGGCATGATGCAGAGTGATTTAGACTGAAGGTATTGCATGGCTGCACCGACGTCTTCCTCCATGAGCTTAGCAACCTCTTGTTCTGTGTCTACATTGGACCATTTATCCCATATATGCTGGTTGGATCTACTTTCACCACTGTCCCCCTAAGATAGAGAAAAAACAAGAAAAATTTCAACTCAAGCTATTAGACACTGTTTTTAAGGTCTTAGGTGTTCAATTAGTAGCAACAGGATTTCATTCATTACCTCCACAGATTGCAATGGAATGTCAGCAACAAGTTGTGCCACTGCACTGGCTCCTCCCAGCCTACTCATGCTCAGTACCTTAAGGCAGTTTAAATGCAAACCATTTACAAGACAGATACAAGAATGAAAACCAGCTAGGGACTATGATGGCCAAGAAATTCAATATAAACTGAACTCACAAAGGAATGGAAATTCGTACCAGAACATAACAGTAACATGCTACTAAGTTGAGAGTTAATAGAGCAGGATTATCAATGATTGGCATGATAACTGTCGTGGAAGTAAAGCAATCACTAGGGACCACTAGACGAGATGTAAGTTTCTTGTTGAGGCACCAACCATCCTTCAAGAGGTTATTTATATGGTAGAACAGAGGACCTCTTTTGAGAAGGCAATGGTATAATAGAAGACTTCTAACTAAAAGTACGAGAAAGTAAAATGCTTATCTAAAAAATATAATTTGCAGAGTGATGTGAAACCAAAATAGGAAGTGTATGTAAATCAGGACCAGGGGAGTAGCTTGTAGAGCAGGCCATGAAGAGGATTAGTTTCAAATTACCCAGGAGAATAGAAATTTACTTATTTGAAACTGAAATTAATATACAAGAAAATCTGTTAACCTGTTCTTAATATAAAACTAATAAGGCAACCATTTCCCAAGAAATCAAGCTAAAACATAGCTCAAGATGCGTACCATGAATAAGATAGTTAACTCAATCACCGTTAGAGAAACCAACACTCAGAAAACCACATGATTCAAAACCACTAAACCCCCATCAAGGAAATGTCCAACATGATGGTTAAGACGAATTAGCGAGATCTACGGGAATGGATTAATGATAATGGCTCCAACAATTTTAAAGTGAGAATTAAATCATATCGAGAGGAATAATTGTGAAAGCAGATTCATTGTACAGAACTCAGAAGCCAAAAACCTCATTTTCTCTGGGACATGGTAGGAAGAGTGAATGACTAAGCTAGCAACTAAGATCAACATTAAAAAAAAGACATCTTACCTTAACTTGAAGCCTTAAGAACTTCACATAGTCCAGAATCTCATCAAGCATTGCTGCCCTATCTGTCTGGCAAGAGAAATATAATATTTCAATACCCCAAGCGACCACATTCCTTTTAATTTCACCCTTTATATAAAGCACCCATTGATATTAGATGCTGAATAACTATTAACTAAGACAAAGTCCAATTCCAAAAAGCCCAATTACTAGAATTTAAATTGAACCATCAGACACTCCACTGCAAATAAAAGCTTGCCTACAAGTTGATTCATCTTATACCTGTTTTAGTTTTACGTATTAGTATTTTATGGCCATGATGTGGACGAAAAAGTAAAATTACTATTATTTGTGAACATAAGACTTCATTTTTAGAGAGCCTGAGTATGACATTTGCGATGAGTAAAGGACAACCCTATTCACGAAAATAAAAACCTGTGGCAGGCAATTAGACACTTGGACACACCTTATTGCAGCTGGGTACCAGTTCCTGCAAAGCCTTTATTCTTTCAGATATCCTCTCTCTTCTCAGCTGCAACAAAAAAAGAAACAGATCATTATATAGTTCTACTTGTTTCTAGAGGACTCCCACAACACCTTCCATTATACCACGTGATTCATGTTTGTCCTTATGAAACATAGATCTTACCCTCTCAGCAATGCTATGTGGATCTGTGGCTTGTCCCCTCCGAGCTCGAACCCTAGGACGAATTGAAGGTGGCTGCGGTACAGTTACTGTTGTGCTCGTTGTTGGTGGGCCTTGAAAAGGCTGCAAGAATCCAAGAGAAATTATAAGCTAGAAAAATTCAGTAATTATCTACTCCCCTCATTGACAAAAAGGCAATGTTCACCTTAGAGAAACATAATTTTAATCATAGTTACCAAGCATGAATCATACAACTAATTAAACTTCAAAAATAAAGAGATTAAACAGAATAATGGATGCAATACCAAGCACCTAAGGGTGTGGTCTAGTGATCAATGATGTGGGAGAAGAACCATGACTCCATAAGGTCTGTTAAGGCAAAAAACACCAGGTAATTTCTTCCTATATATCCAAGCCTTGGTGGGTAGAGTCACCCAACACCTGAATCGAAGAGAGATAGCAAATACCCGGTGGCATAGTCGAGGTGAGCACAAGCTGATCTTCAACACCACCATCTTAAAAGAATAAATATATAACACTGTTCTACCTTCTTGTTATCAGATAATATGCCTCAATTAGACAAAAATTACTCTTCAAGTCCATACACTCCCATGTAGTCGTACGCAAGGAGCATTAAAATTGTGTACAGCTCACCGACTACAAGTTAGTATATGTATTTAAATTTCACCTTCTAAACCTTTAATCATTTAAGCATAGTCTACAAAGGGCTTGACCACAAAGTTGTCTCTCATATAACCTTGGGAAGCAAAATCCTTGAGCGGTCTAAATAATTGCAATATTTACAAGTCACAACAAAACTAACAATACACAAGACACTAAACACCGAAACCTATCAAAATCTTTCTTTTTCTAAAAAAAAGAATCAACATATGAAAACTGAAATGAACTCAATTTTACATTTCCAGATATTTATATCGAAATATTATCTGTATTGGAGAATAATAATGAGCAATTCTGCAGAACATTTTTTAGCAATAACTTTCTCAATCAAAACACACACAGTGAGTAACCTGGACATGGTGAACAGAAGGCAGAGAGTGACGAACTGCATGAGATTGCAAGTGTTCTAGACCTACATATAAATTTCCGATATTCATTCCATCTCTTTCCTGCAAAATAAACAAAAAAAATAAGTTAAATTCGTCAGTTTGCCGTAACTATTGTAAAAATTGGAAAATGCCAAACGCAAAAAAAAAAAGAATTTTTTTTTTTACATGCTTCACTGCATAAGCACCAGCTTCGCTGACGTCATCACGGCCGTTATCCAAGCTCAATCCCAACGGGAACATAGGTTGCTGTAGGCCAGCAGCAGCGGCAGAGTTAAGATGAGATACGGCAGACGCCGAGGTAAACGACGTCGTCTCTGATGGAGTGCCAACATCAGCAACCGGCAAGCCATAGGAAGGAATAGCGAGAATTTGCTCGAGGAAATCATCGGCGTAGGCTTCCGGTTGGTTTGCTGCCATGCCGGAGATTTACCCGGCGAAATTAATTTTTTTTTCCGGCGAGAAGAAGTTAAGGGTTTTGAGGAACTGAAATGGAATGTCTCTGTTCGGCTTTCGTGCTTTGTGGCATGCGTTTAAAAAGTGTGATGATTTTTTGATTACTTTATTTTTTGCTGGTAGCCCCCTGGAATTCATTGTAATGTTGTCTTTTGCCTCTATAGGTTTTGTAAATGGGCAAATTGCTCTATTCTTTTAATAAAAAGATTTGTTAACGGTGCACGTGCATCATTAGAAATTCGGTGGATAATATAACAATATTAATATACTCAGTGAAATTTCAAGTGGGATATGGTGCACGTGCATTATTAAAAATTTAGTGGATAATATAACAATATACGCAGTGAAATTTCAAGTGTGATCTGGAGAGAATAAAGTATACAGAGATCTTATAACTATTTCTTGGAGATAGAGAGGTTGTTTTAGAAAGATAGTCGGTTCAAGTGCATCAAATCCAAAATTTGGTGGATGATAAGTCTGTTTATTTATTCCTCTTCACGTAAATATCATATTTTTATTTATAGTAGCTTGAACGTCTAACCACAATATCTACGTTCTTATCACTAGATCAAAAATTTTGTGGCCAAATTGCTCATTATTTTAATTACTAATCGGGTGCTGAAAAAAACATAAGTTTACTTTGACAGATAAAGGCAGAGCTAACTCTTTGGTTATGGATTAGGTTAAATCTGGTAACTTCGATCTAAATTTTAATTTTTTATTAAAAATTCGATTAAATTTATACAAATTATCAATTTAAAACTCGATAAATTTAAATAAGTAGAATTAGAATTAGAATTATGAATTTGAAATTCTTACTACGCCTCTATTGTTGACATAGAAGGGATATTCCTTGTGTTACTAATTTAATGTTGTGAAGTAGTAAGTATTATCTATATTTGTTACTAAGTGTGGACTTGTGCAAATAGATTATATTTTCCATCTTATAGTAAGTAGATTAAATTTGATAAAGAAAATATTTGAAAAACCACTCTGATTAATTTCCTTGTTATAGAACATCAAGACACATTGAAAATGTTGTCTAGTTATTGTTGCTTAAAATAAGAAATTGTTTTAATTGATATGTGTGTGTTGTGACTTGTGTGTATGTATACATTAAAAGTAAGTGTGTGCTCTTAAGAAACATAAATGTTTTCAACTTCTTGAAACGCAAATTATTTTTTGTTACGGTAGAATTATTCGATATTTATAATGGTGAGATATAACAGGTACTTGATATAATAGTTGAGGTATGCATATGCAAATTCTCATTATTTTGTACAATTGGTTCACATTCTGTGGATTGAACTAAATGATGCAATTGTGTCCCACATCTTTCTCGCCTCGTCGTATAATGGCGTGTTCCATGAACATCTCCTTGATCAAATTTAAAAAGGAAGAGTATGTATTATCATTGTTATGACTTATGTAGTTTGTTTTTGTTTATATTGGCAATCCTAAAATGCAGCAAATATTGAGGCACTTCTTTTATACTCTTTTGACTTATGGTTAATGTATCTTTCATACACAATAAGATTAAGAATAAATGAGAAAAATAATCCAAGTATGTTGACATTTTGGTTGAAATTGAAGATAGGAGAAACTTTTAAAACTTCTCATCTAGAAGTTAACAAACAAATTAAAGTAGAATTGCTACATATACGTATTTGACTATCTAAAACGCCATATGCATTTGAAAATTCTTTGTTATACATAGTTCTATCAATAAATGAATTTGACTACTCTCATCAACAAATCTAGGGAAGTTTTCATTAGTTTTTGTAGTCAATTTATAGTTTTATTACGTAGTTCTTCAACTAATTTTTTAAAAGACTAACTTTCACATAATTCAATTTCAAAAATTATCTTATGAGGTGAAATTATTCAAAATTACATCAGGAGATCAATTGCTCTTTCACAACTGATGTAGGACTTCTTAACACTCCCACCCAATGCTTAAAACCAGAAATCCAAAGTAACGATAATATAACATGGGAGTTCAACAACAAGTAGATAAATCAATGAATTTGACTCTGATACAATATTGATGTACGTACACATCTCATTTAAAAGCTTAAACGATTAAAAAAGAGCACATTTCGTTAATTTAATCATGTCTTCAAACATTAAGTAAAGGTATACAAGAGAGATTCATATTAGTCCACCACACGAAATAGAGCAAGTTGTAAAACAATATTCATTTGTACATTAAACTCCCTCAATTTTGGCTAAACAATCTATGATGTTCAGACTCTTTAAATATATATTATCGGCTATGCGTTGAATTCTTCAAAAGTAATACAATTTTAAAGAATCCGAGCAACATAACATAAAAACACTCATTACAACATAATATATATTCCACTTGACCAACCTTAAACATCCTCTTATTTGAAATTGGATTTTCCACAACTACTAGAAAAGATAATATAGGAGTAATATTACACATATATAGAAGCAAACTTTAAAGTAAAGTAAAAACCTCAAAACACAATAATACTACTCACTTCAAAACTACTTTTACATAATATGCTAAATAGATATATGTCCCCTATCTTGCTGTGACTTGCCTTGGAGATAGTCCTTCCTCTGAGACATCAGTAAATAGATCAATACTTTTAGACAATGCATACACAATTTCAATCATCCCTGGCCTTCTTGATGGATCTTTATTCAAACAAGAAATAGCCACAGACATCACATTCACAACACTCTCCATTGTTAACTCTTCCCTCAAAAGACTATCATCCATCCATTCTTGCAATTTCCTCACCTTCCTCTCTTCACTCCCTTCCGAAAAATCGCTAATTTTTGCCCACAAGACTTTCCCTTCATCATCAATAGCCTCCTTCCCTGACACTAGCTCGAGCAACACAACTCCAAATGAGAAAACATCCATCTTAGTGGATACAATGCCATCGGTTAGGTACTCAGGGGAGATGTACCCCTGAGTACCTACAATGTGCATTGTTATGGCATTGCAACCTGATTTAGCTAGACCAAAATTGGCAACTTTGGCTCTCATGTTGGTGTCTAGGAGAATGTTGCTAGTTTTGATGTCTTTGTGGACAACTCTTGGCCTTGTATGTTCATGAATGTATAAAAGACCATTTGCAACATCAGTTGCAATTCTTAGTCTTGTTTTCCAACTCAATTTTTCAGGTTTTTCACCATGAATCCATGAATGTAGTGAACCATTTTCAACATACTCATAGACTAAGAAGCAATTTGCTTCTTTAGGGTCTATGCAAAAACCTTCTAGCTTCACCAAATTCCCATGGTTCACCTACACAAAACAAAAGGGGGAAATTATTAAGTAGACATAATTAATTTGGGACAATATTACAACGACATACTCATGTAATCCCATAAAGTACGATCTGAAGAGAGTAAAATATACGTAAACCTTACCATTATCTTAGAGGTAGAAATACTATTTCCAATAGATAATTTAAATAATAATTATTTGAAATTGAATAAAATACTATATAATACATGATTAAAAAAAAGTTATTGATTTATTCGTAGCGAAGCGCTAATTATAGTAACGGTTGCAAAATAGGACTTGATGACGTTTTCTTTATTTAATAGGACAACTAATAAATCTAGTCAAAGTAGTACAGCCAAACCAAGCTAAAAGCATGACGCTTTTTTGGGAGAAAGTCATAGACAAAGAAATTTCATTTAGGAAGAAAATTTATTTTGAACTTTGTCTTGATAAAATAAATTATTAATAAAAGATGCTCTTTTCTATGGCAAAAAAAGAAAAAGAATTGTTTCTAGACATCTTGTTAATTTTTAATATCTCAATTCTTATCACAACAACAATATATCTAGTAAAATCTTTATAAACAAGTTATGAAAAAAATAATATATAAAAAAATTATTTTTGATACACGCTCGAGGGTCTCCTTAGGGACAAAAATAAAAAGGAAAACAAAAAGTGAATAATTGAGGAACAAAAAGAGGAGTATTTAATGAAAAGATAGACATCAGAGGACAAATAAATTGAGTATTAAATGATGTTGATTAGCTTAAATTATAAATTATCAAATCCCAATGGGCATAATGGTCCACTTAAATATTTAAATAAAGTACTACTAATGTCTCAAGAATACGACAGGTCACTAGACCTAATAGTTTAAATTATTAAACATATATTTTTAATTAAATACTTAATCTGATCCATTGGAGGAAAAACAATTCTGCAGTGGAATTTTAACATTACTAAAATATCAATTGAGAAAATGACAAAAATAGCCTCTAAGGTGGGAGAACACTGAACAGGTTCAAAATAGCTCCTTAAATATGTAATCAACAGTTTTGAATTTTGATTCTTTAAGTTTATCAAAAGTTAACATTTTTAATCTTCGTCAACTACTTAATAATTTATGTTTATTAAATTTGACAAAAATAATAAATATTTAATCATAAACACTAAAAAAATCTTTTCAAATCTAAAATATACAACAGAAAACATTGCATACAGACACTTCATATCTTAAAAAAAATAAAAAATCTACACCAAATTATAGAAACAAATCAAAACCAATCAATCTACAAAAATAGTACCTCTAATTATGAATTCCCTCATTTCCTTCCCCCCCCCCCCCCCCCCCCCCCCCCCCCCCCCAC